CAGCGGGCACCCGGACGCTCGTCGCGCTTCGGCACCGACCGAGGCTGACATCTTCGAGGCTGCACCGCCCGGGTCCCCGACCCGCGGAAACTCCGGCCAGCGAGTCGGGAAGCTGGCCGCCGCGGCCCCGACGCCGTCTCCGCAAAGGCGGACAAAAGAATGGTGGAGTCCGACGGCGGGCTCCCCGAAACAGTCCGGCAGTCAGCTTGCGGCCGCCCGGCCCGAAACCACCGCCGCCCACGGACAATGGCTGCCTCGCCTCCGCCACCGCGCAGCTGCCGGGGCTCCTCGGGAGCTCCGGGGCCCACGCCGCTCCCCTGCCACCCGCTCACCTGCAGGCCGCCGCCCTCCGCCCCGCGCTACTCGCAGGCGGGCCCCGCCACGCGCACGACCTGTCTCAGTACCGGCTGTCAGGCCCGCGTCCCCGCCCGGGTCCCATCCGACACCGCGCTCCGGCCGGAAGTGGAATGACGCCCTTCCGGGGAGGGGCTTCGGGCAGCCGCGCCGCGGGCCCCACCCTCGCGGAGGAAACCCGCTTTCCTTCCAATGCCGCCCTGGCGGTCGGAAAGCGTTAATGCTACCGAGTGTCCCGTTCCTGCCGCGGCCTAGAGGGGCCTCCACGCGGCTCGGCGAGCGGCTATCGCCGCCTCGCGTCCCGCACTGGAGGCACTGCGCGTCCGGCTAGTGCCTGCGTGGCCTTCGGGAGGCACCGGTACTCGTAGCCCAGCCCGGCGAGGGTGGCGGCCCCTGCGCACGCGGGGCCCTCGGCCTTCCCGGGGCTTTCGTCCCGGTCAGGATCGGCGGCCCCCGAGGGCTTGTTCCCTCCTCTGGGCCGCGTGTCCGTCACAACGATCACGTTTTCCTAGTGAGGTAGGTTCCAGCCGGTGTGACGGGTTCTAGCTGTAGTGTCCTTGGCAGGGACACGGAGCCGCGGCTCGGCCCCGGTCCCACGAGCGACGGGCGGCGGCCCCTAGTACGGGATTTAGGTCCCCTGCAGTCTTGGCTCCCGCTCCGTGCACGATGGCATTCTCCCTGTATGATGGGAACCCCCTTTCCATCTTGTGTCCCTGCAGTCTCTGCCAGAGTTCGTGAACCCTACTTCTCAGGATCCGGGCATTCCGGGTTGTCGGTGTCTCCTAATCATCAGGACCCTTCCTAGCGTCAGCCTTTGCCAGGCAACAGCTTACTTATTAGGTCCACTACGTTCAGCCAGGGCTTGGAGGCACAGGGCAGAGTCTTTGCTGCATGGAATCTGGCGAAAGGATTGGGGCACTTTCGTGACCGTCAGGAGTACGGAGGCTAGGAAGAGGGGAGGCCCAGGCTGAGCGAGGCGGGAGTCCGAGGAAATGAAGGTCGACTTACTGTTGGGGAAATGGTAAGAGACCTTGAACCTGATCTGTCCGCTCCACGGAACGGGGCCACATCCACGCAGAGGGAAAGCTGGGGAAGATTGGGGTGTGAGAAGATCCATCATACGTGTTCACTAAGTGTGATCGGGCTACATTTGGAGGGAGACTTAGCAGTGAGAAAATAAGTTCTTGTAGCCCTCTCACCGGGTGCTTTGCATAGTGGTGAAGAGACTGCATTTTTTTCCCCCCTAAGACCCTAAGACTTTATTTATTTGTCAGAGAGCGAGCGAGCGAGCAATCGTGGGAGAACGCAAGCAGGCAGAGTGGCAGGCAGAGGCAGAGAGAGAAGCAGGCTCCCCACTGAGCGAGGAGCCGGGTGTGGGATTTGGTCCCAGGCCGAAGGCAGCGGCTTAACCAACTGAGCCACCCAGGCATCCCAAAGAGACTGCATTTTTAATTAAGTAAATCCTGGCGCATCACTGGAGACTTTTTTCCAGGGCAGTTCATCTAGAAGTAAGGGGAAGATGGGAATGAAAATGGGAGACCAGTACCAGGCCACTATATTACCTTTGCTTTTAGGTGGAATCCTGTTGTCCTGATCCCTTCTCAGTGAGAGCAAAGGGTTAAGCACGGGAGATGAGAAGAAGCGTCTGTGTGGGTCACTTGCACAGGTTTCAGAGCAGGCTCATTTCCTAGGAATCTGCCTAGGGTGAGACTTAGTTTCTTCAGAAGCAATTCTTTCCAGGGCCCAGTAGTGCTCTTAGCATTGAGATCCTCACCATCGGGCCCAAGGCTGAGCATATGCTGGGAACTTACTAAAGCGAATAAATGAAGTTCTGCCAGTGGTGCCCTTGCAGGGTACTGGCGGGCCTAATTCATAACCTGGGTGTGGAGGTGGTTAGGGGAGGAAAAGTGGGAAAAGACACCCCAAAGACACCCCGTGAAAGCAAGAAGGCAGCACAAACTGGGGAACAATGAAAGAGGACCAGTAATGATTTTCATAGTCTGAAGTCTGTGGCAGGGTTCCTTTCCCTGGCTGTGGAGCCCACCAACATCCCACCAGACTCCTTTTGAAATCACGTTCCCCTGCCTGGGCACTGCCTGAAAAATAATGAACGTACAGCTGGGAAGCGATGACAGCAAAGACCTGCACTTTGTCCCAAGATACCATACAACTGCTGTACTGGGCTGAATGGTGTTGCCGTGTGACCGGCTAGACTTAATAATGCTGCTCCTGACCAATTCTTTTTTCTTTTTCCATGTATATTACTTATCACTGATTAATTCGCTTAGTTATGCTGCCTTTTAGAAAGTTGCTTGAATCTTAGTCTATATTTGCTCCATACCCTATTCACGACCATACTCTTTCATGATCCTCTTAGTGTTCTACAGACCCCTTGGCATTTCTAGCAATAATTACAGAGGAAAACTAGCAGCTTGAACTCTTTTGGGTTTCTAGAGGAGAAGCTTGTGACAATTCTTGGTAGTTGAGGAATGAATGATAGCCAATCAGGCTCTGTAGTATAGGAGAGGAAAAAAATAAGTGAACTGCCAATCATTTTCCTTATTTTTCTGACATATTTTTCTTTCTTCATAGCACCTGAAATGGATAAAAGTTGCAGTTTTTGTTACTTCTCGTGAGTTTGTGTGTCTGGAATGAAGACAATGAAATTAATCTAGAGTAGGACATTTGGAAGGACCTGGAATGGCATTGGGCATCCCCAGGAAGATCTGCAAGGAATATCTGAGGAATATCAGATACACTGGTGAGAAATCCTTTGAATTTCTTCCAGCAGGGGAAAAGTATTATTTCGATTAAGCAACATCTACAGTGAAGAGAAATGGAATAAAGTTTCAAATATATTGAATCTGTTACTTAACATCTTAATGTAAATTGAGAACAAAAAAATGAAAAGTCAAATCTTTTAAAGAATGTTAGCAGTGATAAAATATTTTTAAAACTTTTGAACTTATCTGAGAACTGCCAGGACTCTGAAACTTGATAATTCCAAATTTTGGAAAAATTTCAGTGAAAAATAACACTTGAGAATATACCAAATGTACTCATGGAAGAAGCTCGGAGAGTGGGAAAGTGCCACTAACAGGTTTTTACATACTTAGAGATTACCTAGGTAAACACAAGAAGTTAAAGCTCAGTCTTTGAGACTGCTACATCGAATGTAATAAATGTGAGATTTCTTCACATGGACAAGAGAACCTACTTTCTTTCTCAGTAAACATACTTAACAACTGTTCAGGAATGCCAGCTCCCCAGACATCCCAATGTCAGGATAGCTTGGACTCCTCATCCGGGTGGATGGCCTGCTGCCCAGTGAATACTGCTTACAGAGCACCGCGAGCACCATTTTTTCTTCTGGCAGTGAGGTGAAATCAGGTCGTTTTGGAGGGGGAGAAGCCACACTGCTTCTCTGCTACACAAGATTATTCTGTCTATGCCTTTGAGGCTTTCACACTCCCTTCTCAAGCACTACTTTTTATGTAGACTTAGCTCACCTGGGTTTCTTCCTGTGGACACATCTCCCCTCTGCTCCTGCTGTCTGTGTCTGCGTGGAGTTAGGGAGAGCAGGTATTCCTGTCACTCCTGACTAGAGCTGCTGGAGCTGTCAAGAGAGGAGGAGGAAGATGGGGTTCTGAGAACCGATCATCCTTACCTTGTCAGAGCAAAGGCTAGATAGGGCTTTGACAGTGGCGGCTTTCTGAGTTCATAAGCCCTTCATCTGTAGACTACCACTTGTGTCATGAGTCTTTATCCCTTTTAGCCCAATACCCTTCTGTACAAATGCCTGTGCCTTTTGGGGCTTTAAGCTAGTTTTTTGTTTTGCTTTTAATTTTTCCCAATTCAGTAAGGCTTTTCCCTCTTTTTCTCCTGTTGGTTGTCTGAAACCCAATTCACTATGAATAAAAGAGGGAAATATACAACATTGAATTTGGAGGAGAAAATGAAGGTTCTCAGTAGGATTGAAGCTGGACGGTCTCTGAAAAGTGTAATGGATGAATTTGGAATCAGTAAATCAACATTTTATGACATTAAGAAGAATAAGAAATTGATTTTGGACTTTGTACTGAAGCAGGACATGCCATTGGTAGGGGCTGAGAAGAGAAAGAGGACAACAGGAGCCAAATACGGAGATGTGGATGACGCAGTGTACATGTGGTACCAGCAGAAACGCTCAGCTGGCGTCCCCGTGAGGGGTGTGGAGCTTCAGGCCGCTGCAGAGAGGTTCGCACAGTGTTTCGGGCGAACCGACTTTAAAGCTAGCACTGGTTGGCTTTTTAGATTTCGAAACAGGCACGCCATTGGGAATCGAAAAATATGTGGAGAACAAGTCCTAAGTTCAGCTTCAGAAAATGTTGAGCCCTTTCGACAAAAACTGTACATGCTTATCAAAGAGGAGAAACTGAGTCTAGCTCAGCTGTACAGTGGGGATGAGACTGACCTCTTTTGGAAGTCAATGCCAGAAAACATTCAGGCAAGCAGGAAAGAGATCTGCCTGCCTGGGAGGAAAATAAACAAAGAACGGTTGTCTGCGCTGTTATGTGCAAATGCAGATGGAACTCATAAACTGAAGTCAGTCATTATCGGAAAATCAAAGCTGCCCAGAAGTGTGAAAGAGGACACAGGTGCAATACCTGTGATATATAAGCCCAGTAAAGATGTTTGGTTCACCAGAGAATTGTTTTCAGAATGGTTCTTTCAAAACTTTGTTCCTGAGGTCAGGCATTTTCAGCTTAATGTTTTAGGATTCCATGAAGAGGACGTCAGGGCCTTGTTACTTCTGGACAGTTCTCCAGCTCACCCTTCTGCCGAATCACTCACCAGTGAGGACGGTCAAATAAAATGCATGTTCTTTCCCAGTAACACTTCGACCCTGATTCAGCCAATGAATCAAGGTGTGATCCTGAACTGCAAACGACTTTATAGGTGGAAGCAACTTGAAGAGAGTCTTGTCATTTTTGAAGAAAGTGATGATGAGCAAGATAAAGGAGAAAAAGGAGCTTCCAAGATTAAAATCTACAACATAAAAAGTGCAATTTTTAACTGGGCAAAGAGTTGGGATGAAGTGAAACAAATAACCATAGCAAATGCATGGGAAAATCTTCTTTACAAAAAGGAACCTGAATATAATCTTCGGGGCTTAGAAGATGGAGATTATAGAGAAATCCTTGAGAAGTGTGGGGAGTTGGAAACCACGCTGGTGGATGACAGGGTGTGGTTCACTGGGGATGATGAAGAGAAGGGTAACCTCGAAAAAACAAAAAGTGGAATTACAAAGGAAGTTGTTCAGAAACGAGGAGGAGCAGAAGAGCAGACTGCTGAATTTCAGCTATCTGATGTCAGAGAGAGTCTGGACTACCTTCTTGACTTTGTTGATGCCACACCTGAGTTTCAGAGGTTCCATTTCACGCTGAAAGAGATGCAACAAGAAATAATAAAAAAACAGTTCCAGAGTAGAATCCATTCTCAAACTGGTAGTTTTTTGAAACCTAGGCCTCGTGTTATGAAGGATTCCTTCAATATGCCTTCAACTTCTAGTAATTAGATCTTGCATTTACAGATTTCTGTAGTTATATATGATGCAGACCTGTTGTGAATTGTCATTGTTTTTATCAGCTGACCTCATTTTGCATAGCACTGCCCATTTATATGTTGTTTCTAAAACATACAATTTAAAAATAAATTTGTCTCTTTAAAGTATAAAAACATTGATTCATCCATTTTTGTTTCCATTTTAGACAAGGATCTGAATAATGAAGAGTTATTGTCCCAGATTATCTAAGGTGGAATGGATGTCAAGAGCATTACATTCTATCTCACTCAGAGCAAAGAACAAGAAGCTATATGCCGACTAGTTATTTTTTTTTTTTTAAAGATTTTATTTATTTATTTGTCAGAGAGAGAGAGGGAGAGAGAGCGAGCACAGGCAGACAGAATGGCAGGCAGAGGCAGAGGGAGAAGCCGGCTCCCTGATGAGCAAGGAGCCCGATGTGGGACTTGATCCCAGGACGCTGGGATCATGACCTGAGCCGAAGGCAGCTGCTTAACCAACTGAGCCACCCAGGCGTCCCCCGACTAGTTATTTTTGAAAAAGAAAATTTTAAAACTATATACAAAAATAAAAAAGATAAGAATAGATTTGGTTTTTAGTTTAATGGTGTGACATTCTCTGGTTTCTTAACTCTGTACCACCTACTGTCCCCCCTTATTGTGTAAGTAACATGCTGATTATATAAGTTATATATTAAAAAGATGAAAGGCACCCAACATCTATCGGCCAATGATGGTTTAACACGTTGGTATGTTTTATGTATTTAAAAAACAGGCAGAGGCACCTGGGTGGCTCAGTGGGTTAAAGCCTCTGCCTTCAGCTCAGGTCAGGGTCCCAGGATGGAGCCTCACATCAGGTTCTTTGCTCAGCCAGGAGCCTGCTTCCCACCCCCCCACCCCGCCTGCCTCTCTGCCTACTTGTGATCTCGTCTGTCAAATAAATAAAATCTTAAAAACAAAAACAAAAAACACCCAGGCAGATTACTTGGTAAATACAACTTTTTATATCTTATTGTCTTAACGTGCTTTAGACCTTGGCATTAATAAAACATTAGGATTTGTTTTAAGCCTAGAGTAGAACGGACTGTGGAAGAAGTTGATGGGAATGTCAGCCGAGTTTACTGGACAGCTCTCTAGTTCCTTTTAATCTTCATCATTGCATCAAACGCCCCCGCCCCCAACCCCGCCATGGGTAATACATTTCCAGAGTAAATGACAGGCAGTCACAGCCTTTTGAAAAGTATTCACTTATTCAGGAAGGTTCACGTTGCCTTTCCGTGCTAGCTACCGAGCCTGGTGTTGGGCATTTGGACCTGAATTAAAAAGAAAACGAATAGAACAAACCACCATTCAATGTGTAAGTGCTAGATGAGGGTGGAGAGGGCTTTGGGTGTGTTTGGGTAGCAGGGGAAGTACCTAAGAGGGTCAAGTGCGTCTTCTGAGCCGAGCTTTAAAGTTGAGTGCAGACAGTGGCAGGGCAGTCCGGGCAAAGAGCTCAAGCTCTTTCCTCGACGTGACAGTGTATCTCCCTGGGAAGCTGCAAGGTCCCCGGATGGTTGCTGTAAGGGCACCTGGCAAAGAACAGCAGGAAAGACAGGTCCGGCCAGATTTGCATCCTAGGTCGTCCTAGGATTTCAGACTTCCGCCGGGGCCCACATAAGGTTGTTCTCCGTTCTAAATGGCTCACGTCTTGTCTCCACTTCTTCCTCCCTGCTCTTCGTGCCGCGGTCCAGGCCGCCATCACCCCTACCTGGACACCTGCATCGGTCTCCTTTCTTGGCCTCTCCCCAACGCTTCTCACCCTGTAGCCTCTTCGCGGCCTTCCCATTGCGTTTAAGCAGGCTCCTGGCCTCAGGTCGCTCTGCAGGTCCGCCCTTCCCGGCGGCAACACCACCCAGGCCTGCGCTCGCCCCCTGCTGGACGACGAGAGCCAGGCCCGCTGTAGGCGCACACCCGAGAGACCCGGGACCGTTCCGGAGAGTGGGGTAGAGCCGCCGGCGTCCGCTGGATAGGGAGAAGGAAGCCTTCGGCCACGTGGGCCGGCCCAGCCCCGGTAGCCGAGAGCTGTGGGGAACGCCAACCACTGTGCCATAGCGGCAGGAGCGTGCGGGGAAGAAGCTTCCTGGCGCAGCCATAGAGCTCCCGCGAAGCGGGCCAGAGCGGCCAGGACGTGCAGAAGCTGCGCTCGGAGAGCAGGCCGGTGGGACGGGCGCAGCCATAGAGTGGCCGCCGGCTGGCCAGAGCGGCCGGGGAGAAGGGGGTGGGCCCGAAGGGAGGCGGGGCGCGCGCAATCATGAAGTTCCTGCCGGCGACCTAGAGGCCCCGTTCGGGTGGCACTGCGAGCTGTCCCCGGGGTCGGGAAGCAGAGGTCGCAGGAGGGCTTGGGCTTGGCGTGCGGGAAGGTTGATCAGGACTCGGCTGCGGAGCGCCCGCCGCGTCCGCTTTTGTTCCTCCCGGGGCCCGCGCGGGAGCGGTCCTCAGCCGGGCAGGAGCGCAGGCGGGCGGTCAGGCGCTCAGGAAGGGGCTGACGTCTTTGGTTCTGGAAATCATATTTTCAGGTCTAGAGCTCCCCGAGAAACCCAGGCACCTCACTCTCGTTCCGGTGGCTGAACGAGCTCCCCCCAGAAAAGCAGGAAAGAGTGGGGGTACAGAGGCAAACACGACTCCGGATTATGTCCAAAAACATACACCAGGATTTGAGAAAGAAAGAGTCTTCTTTCCCTACCCTTTCTTGCCTGCGGAAATCTGACCACCTCCTCAGAACAGGAACCTGGCGTGTGACCAGTTTGGGGACATTTCAGTGATAAATTGAGGGTATTAACTGGAAGATTTGTCCAAATGTGTTGGTGTTCTCAGCGATTTTTAATCAACCATTTCCTCACTGTTGAATTTACCTAGACCATTCCCACTGGCTCCTCACTGGCTACCTGAGGCATCACATAGCTCCTCTTAGTAAAAAGGACTTGATCAGAAAGAATTACGTCTCCCTTTCAACAGTAGAAGTCAGATTTTAATCAGAAGTGTTTGCAAGCTAGATTGAAGGCTAAAAGGATAAATGCACCTCTATTTTTTCTAATAAATGCACTTTTGCTTTAATCTTAACTATTTTTGAGCTGCTGACACCCAAAGAAGTTAGCCCCCCTAGTGCTAATAAACTTCCTAAAGACTTAGTTGTTTTAAATGTTCGTGAAACATTTACAAAAATCACAGGTCTTAAAGCAGTGGTGGTGATTTTGCACTTTCCAAAATGCTATCAGTTGATAGTCTCATTCAAACAATAAACTCTGTTTACCGGGCTAGGATGTACAGAATCTTAATAAATTTCAGATTATGACATTGAGACTCATAAATCCTTCCCTTCCTGCAATAAAAACTCTTAGTGATTTCTGATTTTTTTTCTGGAGAAAAGAAAATTTGTTTAATACTTTTTCCAGTCTCTGGCCTTACAAGCTTTGTCCTCAGTGATGTCTGGCCTGCTGCTCTTAATCGGCCTCAGCCAGGTTTTCTTTTTTCTTTTTTTTAAGATTTTATTTATTTATTTGACAGACAGAGATCACAAGTAGGCAGAGAGGCAGGCAGAGAGAGAGAGGAGGAAGCAGGCTCCCTGGGGAACAGAGAGCCTGATGCAGGGCTCGATCCCAAGACCCTGGGATCATGACCTGAGCTGAAGGTAGAGGCTTTAGCTCACTGAGCCACCCAGGCTCCCCGGCTAGGTTTTTTCCACAGTGCTTACATGTGATACTAGTTCTCCACCCAGGAGTCCTGCTGCTGCTCTTCTGTGCCATCTTTGCTCCGAGGACTGTGGCTATTGCTCCAAGTCAGTCCACATCTCCCAGGTCTCCTTTGTACCCATCTGGGCTGAAGAGCCAAGGGTCTTTCCTGCCCCAGTGTCAGTCTCCCATTGACCTGACAGCCAGTTGGAGACTTCTGGTTTCTTTTTCAAGGACTAGTGGGTAAAAGTGTAAACATAAAAAGTGTGTGTGCAGGATTAAAGGACAAATGTGAAAAAGCACGCACTTGGCCATCCCCTGCAGTGACCTCATGGGAGTGTGCATAAGGACCTCCAACCTGCTCTTTGACCAGACCATAAGGAAAGAGATCCTCATTCCTGTCAGTAACGGAGATTTCTGCCAGTGTGGCATCAGAGGCAGGTGCTTAGAAGGAAGTCTTGCCACTATCATCTGCCCACAGAAGATACCAGTAGATGAGTACCTTCTGTGTGCCAGGCCCTGAACTAAATGCTTTGCATGGAATATCCACGTCATTATAACAGGCCAAGAACAGTTTTGCTTGTGAATTTGCTAGTAGGGGAGCTAGACTGGGGCGGGGTGGGGGTGGTGGGGAGCGCTTCCTATTGGGAAGCCTTTTTAGTGCAGGAAATGAATTTCTGGGATGCTCATTGCTCTAGCCTGAAGCCACAGTGCTCCCAGTGGACCAACAGCAGTGGGACCACTATCAGATCTGCATGGGTGACACTATGGGGAGAGGGGTGCTTTCCATTCTCAAAAGATTTACAACCCACATAAGTTGCAGTCTTCGCCAAAGAGTGCTTAGTAACATCATCAACTTGACCTCACCCACACATTTCATGGCATCAGCAGCCGCAACAGTCCTGTCCTGCTACCATGGTCCTAAATTAATCTCTCAAACCTTCACCCTCTCACCTGCCCCTCAAACTCTGCACTACTCCCTCTTGTGGAGAAAGAAAAGAAATTAGAAACTAGATTTTTATTTTTTATTACTTTTTAAAGATTTTGTTTGCCAGAGAGGGAGAAAGCGAGCGAGAGAGCTCCCTGCTGAGCAAGGAGCCTCAGCAATGAGCATTGTGGGGCTTGATCCCAGGACCCTGGGATCATAACTTGAGCCGAAGGCAGATGCTTAACCCACTGAGCCACGCAGGCATCCCAAGAAACTAAGATTTTTAAAAATTGGCTCAGAAAACCAAGGATAAACTCCTACTACACTGAGGCAGGGCTGAGATAAGACTGATAGGGAAATGGGGAAAAGGGTATGCACGGTTGTTTCCCTCACTTAAAATTACTGTATCTGGGGGCGCCTGGGTGGCCTCTGCCTTCAGCTCAGGTCATGATCCCAGGGTGCTGGGATCGGAGCCTGCTCCCCTTCCTCTCTCTCTGCCTACCTCTCTGGCTACTTGTAATCTCTG